CAGCACCGGCACCCTGGCCACCTCCCCCCGGACAGACGAAACAGAGAACCGACTCTCGCGCAGGACCCCCAAAGCCCCGTTTTTTGAGACCCCCCCCTGCGTTCTTCTGCGCCTCCACGGCCGTGCCCCATCTGTATACGTATCTGTTTGTGATACGCCCCCCTCGGCGGTTCCAGCATGCACCAGGCCCCGAGCTGCAGCGCGAGTCTTCCCGAGCGCAGCGTGAGCGAAGACGGCACTTTTTGCGAGAGTTTCAACGACGCCATCAGCAGGCTTGGGCACGATCTCGAAGTGGCCAGTGCCCCGGAGGCCGCGGGGCTCTTTAGCGCCCGGCCCGGCAGTGCACAAAGCGGCGCCAACGGCGGGTTTCTTGGCGGCCACTGCTCCGCCGGGCCGGGCGCCGGCCCCGTGCCCCCTCCCGCCGCCGGCCCGGCGGCAACGCCCGAGCAGGCGGGCGGCAAACAGCAGAGCGCTGGTCCAGACGAGCACAGCAGCGGCGCCCCGGCCGCACACGAGGCCCGGCTTGCATACAACAGCCTCAACGAGAGCATTTTCGACGACGTGCGGTACTTCCCATGCTTGCGGGCGGACCAGAGTGCGGTGGCCAAGTTCGACGGCAAGCAGCCCGAGGTGTTGCTCCACGCCACGCTCCGCGCGTTGGTGGTGCAGCTCACGTCGCCGGAGGTGATCGACTACAACCTCATCTGCGACTTTTTCCTCACGTACCGCACGTTCACGGACGCGGCGGCCGTGCTCACGTTGCTCCTCACGCGGCTCGTGTGGGCGTTGCAGTACATCGGCTCCGGCCTGCCGCCGCGGCAGAAGTTGGGCCAGCTGGTGCTTCTCCGCACGTTCGTGGTGTTGCGCCACTGGATCTTGAACTACTTCCTCGACGACTTCCGGCCGGACGCGCGGCTCTGCGACATGTTCGCGCGCCGCCTCAACCACATCACCGGCGAGCTGCGCCTCGTGCACAGCGGCATGGCGTTCGAGGTCAAGGTGCTTGCCGACTTGAAGACCCACTGGCTCGCGCAGCTCGCGGAGTTCTTTGGCGCGGCGGCCGCGCGCGACGCGTCCACGCCGGTCTTCGCCGTGCCCTTGCCCATGGCGCCCGAGTACTTCGAGGCCCGGCGGCTCCCCAAGTCCAGCACCGAGGTGTCTCTCCACACGAACCCCTCCTTCCGGCGCCTGGCCATGCTCTCGCTCTACGACCCGAAGCCGCACCACCGGGGCCCCTGGCCGGACGGCGTGGCCAGCCCCGAAAACGGGCCCCTCCCCATCAGCAACTTGGTCAGCCAGCACCAGTCGTCTCGCGTGTCGCTCGACACCAAGATGGCCGCGTTCCACACGCGGCGCGGCGCGGCCGGCGCGGCCCCAACGCCGCTTGCCGCGCGTCGAGAGCCCGTGGCCCCGAAACACAACCACATGAACCTCAAGGACTCGTCGCTAGCGTTGAAGAAGACGACGGCCGTGCACCAGAACACCCCGCGCGCCGCCGGCCCCGTGCGGCCGGGCTTCGCCACCAACGGCCGCGTCAAGCTCCCGAGCCCGAGAATCGCCGCGGTCGTGCCGCTCGCGCCGCTCGAGAACACGGGCCTCGGCGGGCGGGCCGACCCTCAGCCGCCCGCGCCGCACGACTTGGCCGAGCCCGGCCGCAGGAAGTCCCTCAAGCGCATAGTCGAGGACTGGACCCGGGCCTTGTACTCGCCGGACATGCGCAGCGACAAGTCCACGTTCTCGCCGGAGCCGGACTTGGACACCCCCATCGACACTGCCTTTGAGCACGCGCCCACGTACGCCAACGCGCCGCGCGAAATCGCCGCCCGCGTGGACGTGCTCAGCGCTCGCATCGTCGACGAGTTGGAGTTCGTTATCCGCTACTACATCGCCGACACGCCGCCGGCCGTTTCGCAGAAGAGCGCCCCGGACGCCGTCGACAGGAGGTCCATTGCGCTATCGCCTTCCGAGAACATCGCCGGGGCGCCCATGCCCACGGCTCTGGAGAAGGACAGGACCCGCGCTTCTGCCGCAACCACCAAGGACCTGTCCATCCAGGACATTTCTGAGTTGAACATCGAGAAAATCGACAATCTCTTCAGCCAGAGCAGCATCGGCGACCGCCCGCGCGACTTGGCCGGCCTGCTGCGGCTGCGGCCGCACGACTCCCTCGGCTCCGCGGCCATCGAGCTCTCCAAGCAGTCCAAGCACTCGTCGTTTGCCGGCAAGGTCACCAGCATCAACTGGAACGACGACGGCAATCTCTTCCTCGACAACTCCGCGCTGCTCTGCGACTCCTCCGCGAGGCCTGGAACGCAGTTCTACGACACAAGTGGCGACGCCAACGACATGGGCCCGGCACGCCCCCAGAACAGCCGCCCGGAAAACCGCTCCAGCGACTTCGACTCCAGCGACGCGGACCGGTATGACAAGGAGGTCTTGGACTTGGGCATCGCCATCAGCCCGCAGTCGCTCAAGAGAAAGCGTGCCCAGCGCTTCAGTTTGCACCACCAGTTTGCCGCGGGCTCCTTGGGCAAGGCCGCCCCGTCTCTCTTGCGAAACTCCAGCGACTCCTTCCATACACACAGGTCCATGAAGTCGTACATGAGCTACGACTCGGCGTTGTCGGCGTCTTCCGAGCACTCGGAGAGCGACCAGCACAGCGCCAACCTCAAGAAAAAACACGGCTACCACGACTTGAGACGGTTGGCCCAGGACGGGAACCCCCAAAACCTGATTTTCACGAGGTTGTCCACGTCCTCCAACATCTCCGCAAGCGGCCAGAGGGTGAAAATTTCCATGGCTTCTCACCTCTCGCGAACTTCTTCCTTGATCAAAAAGAACAGCAGGGTGAGTGCGCTCTGTGCTTTGATGGAACTACCCTTCAACCTGGTGCATGAAAGCTATGCGTCAACAAGCACGCGGGCGTTTGTGCAAGACGACTCCGGCAAGTTGGTTGATCTTTCCTTGAGCTCCGTGTTCTCCAACGCTGTTGTGAAGGAACAACTCTGTGTCCAGGACTCGGCGGACGACAGCATCAGAATGTCCTCGGCGTCAGTTGCGATCCCGGGAATGAACAACAACATTCTCAGGGAATTGGCCTCCATTCCAGATGAGACGTTCACCACCAAGAACCCTATTCAGTACGCCTTGTTCAAGCTCGAGGGAAGGTACAACAGCTCCGAAATTCTAGATATGCACCGGGACACCACGCAGCCAAATGCTGAGGATGCGGAGAGGCCGCAAACGGCTTTTCTGAATGAAGGCAAGATCGTCGAAAGAGCAGCGACTGTCAAGAGCGATGTGGAGAGGGAAAGCGTAGGAGATGCTGCGCAGAAGGGGGCAATTGACACAGTCCTATTGTCTTCTACTCCAGAACCAGTGATGGGGACTAATAACAAGGCTAAAGACGAAGGGCAACAGGCCGTTAACAATGGTTTGCTTGAAACTTCCCAGTCCGTGTCTCCGCCCGACTCCGACGATGTATTCCACGACACAGACGATATTCTCGATGAGATCAACAACGCCAATACCGAAGACGTAATTGGGTACTCCTCGGACATAGAGTACGAGTTGAAAAACAGGCCGATAACCCCTATCAAGAAGAGAAGCAGATCCACGTTACTTTTGTCTCAGCCAACTTCCAATGGGGCTCCCACGACCGTACCCAATAGCGAGAGCAGCACTCCAGATTCGCTTTTGAACCCAAAGCTTGTCTTGGACGTGTACCAGCTCGCTACCGAGAACCTTACTGTGAAACAAGTTTTGGCCGCTGGCAGCCATGTTTCATTTATTTTGAGCTACACCCCTCGAGCCATCGCAGAGCACTTCACTATGATCGAGCGTGACATGATGCAAGACATCGACTGGAAAGAGCTCATCGAGTTGCAGTGGAACAAAGATTTGACTCCCGTGAACAGTTGGTTGGAAATCATTGTGAACGACGAGTACTACAATAAGAACAAGGGCGTCAACCTTGTGATCGCACGTTTCAACCTTGTCGTGAACTGGATCATATCGGAGATTTTGTTGACCAAGACCCAAGAAGAAAGATGCGAAGTTGCGACCCGATTCATCCATGTTGCCTATCACAGCTACGAGATGCAGAACTTCTCTTCATTAATGCAGGTGGTCTTGGCTCTTACTAGTGGAAAGGTGAGCAAGTTGCAAAGCACATGGGACAGCATAGATCCGAGCGACATTTTGGCTTTGAAACACTTGGAGAAAGTGACATCGCCTTTGAAGAATTTTGTCAGCATGCGTGTGAGCACCAACCAGATTAAACCTTCAAAAGGGTGCATTCCGTTCTTGGGCTTGTATCTCTCCGATTTGATTTTCAATGCAGAGAGGCCGAAATACGTGAAGAAGAAAGAGCTGGCGAAAAACACGTCGACAACTACAAACGAGGATAGTTGTGAATTGAGTGTGACGCAAGGTGACTCCACCATGGGCAGCATGGCTGGTGCCGAGGTGGAGAAGATGATCAACTTCGCCAGATTCAGGACCTCCGTGCACATTGTAAAGTCGCTTTCTCAATCTATTGAGTGGTCGCAAAACTACGACTTTGCAGTGGACGAGGAGCTTTTGAGAAAATGTCTCTACATTACGTCCTTGGACGAAGAAGAGATGAACATTTGTTTGAAACAAACAGAGACCCAGCCGGCCGATGGGCATTAATTTCAGAAACCTACGCAAGAGTTAGTTAATATACACGAAGAATGAAGCCGCTCCAATTAATCCACGGAATTGAAGTATGAGAGTCAGGGGCTTTTGACGGAGTCCATGACTGAACCCACGTGAAGTATGGGCTCATGGAATAAGTTTGTCGCCTGAAATAGTGAGCCGAAAAAGAAATGTTTGAGCCGTGTTTCACCTCTGTCTCACTCCTTATACTTGTGCAGCTGCATGGGCTTTGGCTTCCCAACAATCCACCCACAGCGTCTTACATCCCCGGATTCTCTAGAGCTGCCTGTGCCGTGCTTATATGCACAACGTACCCCAAGATTTGCGCGTGCGGCTCGGGCAGGTGCATTTTGCTGGACCAACAAAATTCTCCACACTGCAGCGCACGTCTCCAGCTGCAGAAGCCACGCATACTCTCCACTGCAAGAGTGCCAAACAAGTGTGACCAATTACCACCGGCTGGTTCCTCATGACTGTTCTCACATTATCTATTTTGATTCACTGAACGAAAACAACATCAACAACAACAGCGCTCACGTCTCCGATTTAGCAACACAAGCATTCATGGCCCGAAAGAAATCGCCAAGGATGCTAGCGGCGATCTTGGTCGCGTCTTCCGTCGCAGCAATTTCGTATAAACTCTACGGTGTGCTCAAAGGGCAAAGTGACAGTAAAAGTCCTCTGGATGCAAAGGACGGCGGGGTGGCCTTATCGAGAAGACGCCAGTACCGAAACAAGTCGATCACCGTTACTCTTCTGCACTCCGTGTTGAATCTGGGATTGCCATTAAATGAGATGCTTCTTTCATCCGAGAATGTCACATTCATCCTTCCTCCGTATCTTTCTGTGGATGACCTCGCGTGCCAGATCGAGTCCAGCGAAAATGGAGCGCTTTACGAGTTGCCCCTGACCTTGATTCGCAACTACAAGCTTTTGAAATGCTCCAACATAGACGGGTACTTCCATCTTCTCAAGGATCTCCGGCCAGATGTTCTTTTCGTCTGCACGGACGATTTGGGCATAGACCGAGTGCCTCCGGATTTGCGTCGGTTTGTTAGTGAAATCGTGGCTATTGAGCAGGACAAAGAGAATGTACGCAGCGTCTTGTCTGATGTTTTTCTGCAGTGACCTTCTAATGACCCCAAGGCAGATTCAGGACTTTGGTAAATTTTATATGTTGGTCCCGTTCGGGGCATAACGCGAGATGGGGAAAGTAGGCCTGGCCGGGCCCAGGGGAGCCCCTGGAGGGCGCCTGACATTGCGAGTTTAATGTAATATGAAGATAAATGAAAGACCTTTTTTGACTTTTTGCGCGGTAAGATTGTAGATGGAGAGAACATCATTACTCTCGGGCCGATATGTTCTTGGGCGATACCTCGTATGATGCCGTGAGCTTCAGAAATTGACTGCAAGCCCATGCTTCTGATTAAGAACCAGTGGTCCTGGCTTGATTTTGCTCGAGGCTTTCCTTAGTTCTTGCTGTTTTTGTAGTGGTTGGGGTCAGGAGTATTTTTTTTCTTCAGAGACTGTGTACGTATTGTTTAAAGAAGGAGTTCCGGCAACTAGTTGTCAATATATGATCCGTGATATCTCGATTGTGTTTGCAGATTGACATTGCAAATTAGCCAAGCTAGAATTGGGCGGATGGCTTCCGGAAATCAGCCGTGGAAGCAAAATCGCCCATCCGTCGTCTTTCTGCCGGGCCCAAGCACGAATTTCAACGTGCCAGTGGCTCCTTCATATGTGACGTCCTTGACACCAGTCCATAAAATCGTGTATTAGGATGCTTGAACCCGGGCTGACGGGCTCACTTATGTAGGCCAGAAAGTAGCCCGGAAACTACACTGATATAGGAATCCTGCGGTCAAACACAGTTCCGAAAGTCATTCGGATGTCACCGGGCGCCATGTTTCTGAGACCGCTAGACTCAGACTTAGATATTCCGACCCAGATGCTCAGACTCAAATACTCAGGTTCTAAACATTGAGACAGAGACTCAGGTCAGATACTCAGGTCAGATACTCAGGGTCAGATACTCAGGGTCAGATACTCAGGGTCAGATACTCAGGGTCAGATCAGGTTCTTAACACTGAGACTCAGATACTAGGACCAAGATCAGACTCTTAACACTAAGACCCAGATCCTCAGACGCAGATCAGCCATCGAATCTTCGACATCCCATTTCAAGGACCTTCTTCTCAGGCGTTCTTCACCGACCTTCTTCACCGACCGCTCCCCTGCGCCACACATCCACAACCCGCTTTCATCGACCGTTCATTAAAATACATCAAACACGGACTCCTCACAACGACTGCATGCCCCAGAGGCATGTTCAGAAGCGCAGTCGGCTCGTCTAGCGGCCCGCCAATCTCTGGTCCTCGGAAATAGACTGGATGCTCGTGCCGAACATCAACTGGCCCAAGTCGGTGGACACCTCCAAGATCTTCTTGGGGTCGTCGTAGTGGGTCACGGCGTCCACCACGGCCTTGGCCAACTTCTCGGGGTTGTCCGACTTGAAGATCCCGGACCCGACAAATACTCCGTCACAACCCAACTGCATGCAGATGGCTGCGTCGCCAGGCGTGGCCACGCCTCCGGCGGCAAAGTTGACCACTGGCAATTTGCCCTCGTTGTCAATCAAGTCCTGGAGCAACGACACCGGCACGCGGTAGGTCTTGGCGGTGTCCTCGATGAACGCCGCGTTGTCCTTGTGGGCCAAAAGCTGGGCGATCTGGGCCTTGACTTTGCGCACGTGCTTGATGGCCTCGGAAATGTCGCCTGTGCCGGCCTCGCCCTTGGTTCTCAACATGGCCGCGCCCTCGTTGACTCTTCTGAGCGCCTCGCCCAAATCCTTGGCGCCGCATACAAACGGCACCTTGAAGGTGTCTTTCTCGATGTGGTGTTCCCAGTCTGCAGGCGTGAGCACCTCGGACTCGTCAATGTAGTCGACGCCCAATTCCTGAAGCACCTGTGCCTCGACGAAATGGCCAATGCGCACCTTTGCCATCACTGGGATGGACACTGCTGCCATGATAGCCTTGATCATGTGGGGGTCCGACATGCGGCACACCTGGCCCGAGGCCCGCATGTCTGCGGGGATTCTTTCCAACGCCATCACGGCACATGCACCGGCCCGCTCTGCAATCACAGCCTGTTCCACATTGACGACGTCCATGATGACGCCGCCTTTCAACATCTGGGCCAAGCCTGCCTTAATCTTGAAGTCCGACATAGTGAGTAGGTGCTTATTAGTGTTGTGTGTTTTGTTTTCGTGTTTCGGGAGGGAAAACAGGGGTGGAAACTCTCGTGGTTTTAAGGGTGGTGCGTTGGGTGACTTTTTCAACCTGAGCCCGATAACGTGACTCACGGGCGAATCAATCATTTGTGCGCCAAGAACAAGCCGAAGGCAAAATGCGGGACGTGCACAATGCCACCTGTGCTCTGCAGAGAGACGCAGGGCTTGACGAAAACGCCGGTTGTTTTCTGCGAATGAAGCGCAAAAAAGGCATCAGGAGTGCACATGCAGAGCGTTCCGGAATGGTCTTGTCCATAAAGTTGGCGGAGATGCTAAAGCGGTGGCGTGGCAGAGCGTGGGAACGCTGTCTTGCCATCGGCTAGTGTTTCTTGTGCACACAGTAGGTTATTTTGGTTTGTGCAATCAGTGTCCTAGACACATCCGCCATACCCGCCTGTTCTTGGGAGCCGTCACTACAAATGCAAATCGCGGGGAAGCCCGCCAGTGTGCATGCTTTCTGAATTTGGGAAGGGTTAGGGGCATGACTTGCCACTGGCACGAGTCAGCGGCTCTCGCTGACTCGTCAGCTCGCTGACTCTTGCCCTGCAGGGCACCGTCTCAGTCGCCCACAAGATAAATCCGCTAGACTGCGTCAAGATGCATTTAGCGCGTAGACGAGCACGCGCCCTAAAACGCATCTCAAGTCGCGCGGCCGTGCCCGTCCGTTTTGCCACTTCATTTCCTGAACCCGCTTCTGCTGGCCCGTTCTGTTCGAGTGTGTTCGAGCCATCTAGCCACCCATTCTGCAAGTCACGTGCGCAGCCTGCCCAGACCCACCAAAGAGTTCGTTTGGACATCCCGCTTGTCAGATCAGACATCCACCGCATATTCTCACAAACATGAGCAGCACGCCTCTCTATACCGTGGGAGTGTTGGCCCTCCAAGGCGCCTTCTCAGAGCACTTGGAGTATTTGGCAGAGGCCTCGCAGTTGCCCCGCCTTGCCAAGCACCAGTTCGAGTTTCTTGCCGTGCGCACACCTCAACAGTTGCAGAAGTGCCATGCGCTTGTGGTTCCGGGCGGCGAGTCTACCAGCATGTCGCTCATTGCGGAAAGAACCGGGATGTTGCAGCCGTTGGTGGAGTTTGCCCGGAATCGCCCGGTCTGGGGCACCTGCGCCGGGCTCATTTTCCTCGCCAGCGAGATCTGCAATGGCCGCCCGCATCAAAAGGCGCTTGGCGCCATGTCGATCCGCGTGACACGGAACGCGTTTGGCCGGCAGCTCGACCTGTTCGACGCGCCACGTGACTTTGGCTCTTTTGCGCCGGGTCTCGGCGAGTTCCGCACCGTCTTTATCCGTGCGCCGGTGGTTTCTGGAGTGAAGAGCCTGCGGGCGCAATCTGCGCGTGCCGTGGAGATGCAAGCCGTAGGCCCAAAGTTGCAGTCCGGTGCGGCGCTTGTAGACGGCGCCACGATCACGGCGACATGCCTAAACGACGAGCCGGTGCAGGTTCTCCATCTTGGAAAACGGCTTGGTGGTTGCTGTAAGACAGGGAAACATATTGGGCACCCTGTTCCACCCGGAGCTCTCGGGCGACTGCAGATTCCACGGGTGGTTCTTGGAGGAATTTGTGGTGCCGGCGCATTGCTAGTGCGTTTTGAGACGGTTCGCATGGGGCCGCTTGTGAAGAAGCTGATCATATTATAGAACTACTTTCTGATGTGTGGGAGGACCCCACGATCTGGAAGTATCATAGAGGAGCTTTTGACGCCTGAGTGGGCTTGCATTGTACGCCCTGTCTTGGCACGAAGATGTATAGAAGCGCGGCTCGAATCCAAATTGATGACAAAGGCAGAGATGTGATGAACTATCGGAGGCCTAGTAAAGGGCCATATAATAGATTCTTTTCGAGTGATTGATTTAGAACGGTGGCTGTATTCATTCAAGAAACCCTCGTTTGCTCGACACTAACTGTGTTTCGACTCATACGTAATATGCCTTTCTTTTGTTGGGTAGACTTTTCTGTTTCTGGGACCCAAGAGGTCATCCTGAGTGTTCTTGTCAAGGCAAGAGTTATTTGCTGACAAACCTGAAGATGAAGACATGTAGTCAAGTTACAGACTACTGAGTTGATTTATGGATTCTTGAGATCATATGCAAGCGCAGGCAGTTCATGTGTGTCAACGACATGATAAAGAGCACCTGAGCCCACTTCCTCTCTTTTGAATCATAGCAGGTACATTTGATTTGGTATATGCGACTGCTTCGCTCAACTACATGTAGAATCCAAATACACTCTAAGATCTTCGGATGCAAAGGCGTAATAAAGGAAGTGAGGCACAGCTGACCAAAGAGCTTTTGACATAGAGGAGTTGTATGAAATTGTTCGAAGTTGGTTTAACACGTGCGGCCGCTATTTGGAGGTAGAAATTTACATGGGTATCACCATGATGCCTCAAAATAGACCTTTCGGTGGACAACAAAAGAGAAGAACCTGAAAAAATGCAACTTCTACCGATCACAGAATGAGACATCATGAGGAAACACGAGCCGGAAATCTCCAACACATCTTCGTGGTTGGTACTGATATTAAATGACTTTGGAATCCTATATCTGTCTGATCACATGAAAAGGAACATCACATGAAGTCTTTGAATCAGTAGGGACTCTTATAAGATGAAAATAACTACCTCGAGGGAGACGCTGATACCAGGGGCCTTTAGAAGCACAGGGGGATACTTGATTTATTAAAGTGTGTTCATCAGATGACGCTTAGTACACCACCATGCTGCGTCAATGAGAAGATGTCTTTCCACGATTTTCAAAAGCTCAGTCAAAGGAGGCAGAAAGGCCCAGCCTCGAAATAATCTAGAATTTCCACTCTGCTGAGTTTTCGGGCTGGATCATGGGTATTCACTTAGTGTGAAAATTGTAGATTGCAATGGATTATAACACAGAGAGAAGAGGGGCAGCATATGTTGTAACAGAAACGCTCCGAGATATTAAGCTCCTACTTTTTTCGGAAATTTTGAAAGAGAGTGGAGCATAGGGAGTTGAAAGAAATGATTCAAAGTAATATAGTACCCTATGAATCTTTGAAAAGAGGGTTGCAAAAGCCACAAGGGCTTTGGGAGTAAAGTTCGGACTAAGGCCTGATTGAGCAGAAACTCCGTTTTTAGAAATATCCAGTAACAACTTATCGTATGGGCAATATTTTTGCCCCACGGAGCGGTATTTATTTAGTAGCTCAATGGATGCTTATGGCTTCACGTAAATATGACACTGACAGATGGCTGGTGCCCTATACTCATCCATGGTGACGAGGCAGAATAGCGAGTGTGCCTGATCATACCGATCTCAATTTTCCGTTGGACCAAAATATAACAAGGAAGCAAAGAAGCACACTGCTCTTTTGGCAATATTATTTGACGTCGCTGGTCTCTTGTTCACGTTGCTCAGCGTGTCTGTCTGTATTTGAGTATTTGCTGAAAAAGAGAAAGATGTCTTTTTGAGTTCACCAAGCTAAAAATTTGAACTTCCAGAAATGCCGTGGAAATTAAATTTGGGGGCTACCAGGCATCTCAAGGTTCGAAGAAAATTCTGAAACAAAAAGAATGGCGAGTCTTATATTCTGTGCACATATAGATGCGAGTGGGATAACTCGCAACTCAAGTTTCTTCTTTCGTTGAATAAAGATCACGGACAATCACACTGATTTTGTGAGTTGCGTTTTGTGATCATGTTGATGGCTTAGAGTCCTGTTCGAGGAGCGGGCACAGGTGGTTTCAGCCTCGGCAAGCGTGACAGTCACCAGACCAACCCCGATTTCTTGAGCTTACTCACTAGTTGCAAAGCGATATTGTGCTTTTTGGTTCAGTATTAGACGACTTTCATATTAGAATGCTTTCGCATTGGCTGCCCTGTCTGTGAATCCAAAAAGATAAACCCACCCTTCGTGGATTGGCAAATGAGACTTGTCGTTCCGAATTTTATGGTAGCAACAGAGAGACTAATTGAAAGACCCACATTCTCTGTAAGCTAATAATTTGGCCAGGTGGCCTTATTCTTGAGAGATCTGGGCTGGAGGCAAGGCGCATGCGTATAATCGAGGCTCTTGACCCAAGGACTATAGGCCCAGTGTAATATTCCAGGTCATCGGAATTGGAGCGATATTACAGAGACTATTGTTTAGACACTTTTCTGTCCGGGAATACTTTAAAAAGAAAATCCAGACACCATTCAGTAGGCACACGGAACTTTCTTGTCTAGGAACTATGCAGCTATATAACGGCCCGACAAGCCAGAACCATATCCCCGAACCCAAAATATTGAAGATAAAGTTACAGTCCCAAACCTAGAATTACGGCCTAATATCAGGCACTGCAGCTGCAACTTTCGATTTTGAGGATACAGAAAAGGCACTATTTTCTAGGCCTTAATATTCAGGTCGTCCGAAATAAGCACTACAAAAGAAACACCATAAAAGAGGCACAGTGTGAGAAGCCTCATAAACGAAACACCACAAGCGAAGCATTGTACAAGAAACATCAAAAAAGCGCTCTTAGCAAAAATCAATCAAAAAAGCACTATCACCAAAACGTCATCAAAGAAGCACCATGTTTTGGGCGCTTTTGATCTAGAAACCATTTGCAGCCACAACATGTAGGGGCCAGCTAGTGCATTTATATACAGGGCAGACCCCGAATGTTTGAACTGTTTCCAGTCTTCAAAAGCAGTGTTTTTCCCAGAGCTGGATTCCATGATCAGGAGCCCAGGTGGGCGAATGGCACTAGCGTACTATGTTTCAAGAGATAGGTTTCAGGGGTGATACCAAGGAAGTGCGATATCGGTGTCTTCTATATGGAAACATTTTGCAGCCACATAGGCGCCAGGATCTGAAACACAAATTGATATCATGAAGCCAGGCCCAATCAGGCCCATCCTAGGGACTAAAATTCAGGCCCAAAATCCGGGACTAATCCAGGCCCGTAGTCAATGCCTCATCCAGGCCCATAGTCAATACCCAATCAGGCAAATGATCAATACCCAATCCAGGCACATGATCCATACCTAAGGCACAACGTTAGAACCTACAATTGAGGCCCACAATCAACACCTAGTCGAAGCCCACAATCTACACCAAACCGAGGTTTACGACATGTAGTCCAGACCCCAAGATCTATACCCAATCCATGCCCCAAAATCCAGAGACGAAATTTCAGGCCCTATAATCCACACTCAACTAGGTCTTTCTATACCTAATTCAGGCCCATAATTAATGCCTAACATAGGTTCCAAAATCTACACCCATTCAGGCCCGCCTGAATGTCAATTCCAGCCCCACAATCTTTACCCAATCCAGGACCGCAATCTACACCCGATCCGGGCCTATAATCTATACCCGATTTAGACCCATTGTCTAGACTCAATCCAGGCCCCAGCGCCCAGAGACAAAACCAGGCCTACAGCTTATACCCAGTTCAGGCCCATGATCTACATCTAGCCCAGGCCCATGATCTATACTCAACTAGGCCCATGATCCATACCTCATTCAGGCCCACAATCTATACCCAATCCAGGCCCCATAGTCTATACCTAATCCAGACACACAATTAATACCCAATTCAGGCACATGATCTAGACCCAATCCAGGCCCCAGCGTCCAGAGACTAATCCAGGCCTACATCTTATACCCACTTCAGACTCATAATATGTGCCTGATACAGACACCTTAATCTGCACGCAATCCAGGCACCATGTCCAGAACCTAAAATTTAGGCCCACATCAATATCTAATCCCGCCCCACAATCTTTACCTAATCTAGGACCGCATTCTACACACAACCAGGCCCACATTCATACTCGAACCAGACCCACAATCTATACCCGAACCAGACCCATTATCTATACCCAATCCAGGCCCCAGCGTCCAGAGACAAAACCAGGCCTACAGCTTATACCCAGTTCAGACTCATAGTCTACACCCGAACCAGCCCCACAATCTACACCCAAACCAGACTCATAAACTACACCCAAACCAGACTCATAAACTACACCCAAACCAGACTCATAAACTACATCCAATCCAGGCCCCAGAATCTATGCCTGATACAGACCACAATGTTTACTCATTCAGGCCCACAATGTTTACCCAATCCAGCCTCACAATGTTTACCTACTCCAGCCCCATAATCTACTTCCAGACCAGGCCCTTGATCTACACCCAGACCCCATCATCCGTGCCTGGTGCAAGCCCATCACCACCGGCGCTATCCTGGCCCCGCACTCCAGGCTCCATGGCGCGGCCCTAAAAAGCGCGGCCCTAAAAAGCGGCCCTGGAACCCGCGGCCCTGGAACCCGCGGCCCTGGAACCCGCGGCCCTGGCCCCAACTACTCCACCCACCTGCTCCAGCCCGGCTATTGCCAACCCCCTTCCCCCCAACCCAACACCCAACCCCCGCCGCCATGCAGCACGCCCGCCACAGAAGCGCCGCGCCCACCGCAAATGACACCGACCTCTCGCAGTATCTACGGCACGGCCCCCCCGGCACCGAGCACTTGCGCCAGGCCTCTTTGCACCGCACAGGCCGCTCGGCCGGCCACATGAACACCGCCGGCTCGACGTTGATCGTCGGCAAAACGCGGCCGCCCGCCGGGGCCGGCACCAGCGCCGCCGCCCGCGTCTTTTCCGAGCCGCTGGCGCATCTCCCGACGCCGGGCTTGAGCCATTCCAGAAGCGTGGGCGACACGTCCGCACGGGCCTCCCAGAGAGGGCCGCCTGTAGCCACCCCGGCGGCCGGGCGCGCCCACGATGAACCCGCCCACCTGCCCGAATCCGCCCCCTTGACCGAGCCCGCCCAGTTGACCGTGTGGTTCCACGAGCCGGCGTCGTATGCGCAGGACGTGATGGTGGACCCGGCCGCGTTCCCCGGCGTCGTGGTGGGCGGGCTCTACGAGCTCCAGCCCGTGCGCAGGGACGGCGGAAGTGGGCAGAAACTCGTGTTTGTGGTGCGTCCGGACAGCGTGGTGACGCGGCCGCCGGGCGGCGCGCTGGGCGCCAGCAAAGCCAAGCCCGGGTTCCAGATCTCGTTAGCCGCGGGGCTCCAGAAACTCTTGGACGTACCGCCGCGGGCCGCGGTGCAGGTGCGGGCCGTGGCGGCCGCCGGCGCCGTGCAGCTCGACAGCGTGGAGATCCACATCCGCGACGTCAACTTGTCGCGCGACTCGCAGTGGAGCCTCCTGTCGGAAATGGTGGGCACGTGCTGCCACGTGGACCAGCGCGTCAGCTTCATGGGCAGCCGCATCGGGGCCGTGCGCGGCGTGTTCAAGGACGGGCGCAAGCGCTTCAGCGGGTACGTCGGCAGCGACACCAGCATCGTGTTCCGCTCCGAGAGCGCCAAGCTCGTGTTCTTGGTGCAGCTCTCGCGCGAGATGTGGCACTTCGAGGAGAACGGCGAGATCATGTTCCACAAGCTCGTCAACACGCTCTTCCCCATGATCTTCCACAAGTGGCGCGCCACCAACGCGCACCACGCCATCACCATCGTGCTCTTCACCACCGTGGACTCCACGCGTGCGCCGTGGACCTCGCTAGGCGCTGGCGAGCGCCCGGCCCGCTGCCAGGACTACTACCGCGTGGTGGTGGACCAGGTCAGCGTGTTCATGTGGGACAAGATCATGGCCAACTTGCGCCTCGAGTTCGCCAACTTCAAGCGCGACATCTTGCTCCGCTTGGACGCTGCGGAATACAAGATCCGGGGCGAGCCGTGCCCGGCGGTCAAGGGCAACTTGCTCGAGGCCATCAACCTCAGCTTGGCGCTAGTGAGTGACCGCTACCGCAACACGGACTTGCGCCACACCATCAACCACTTGGTGATGGTCACCCCGGGCACGGGGCTCTTCGACGTGGACCACGAGCTCATGCTCGACACCTCCAAGAAGATGTTCAGCCTCGACTGCGCTTTGGACATCGTGTGCTTGAGCCAGCCGCCTCTCCACACCGTGCCCTTGTTCCGCTACCGCTCCGACAGGGGCGACGTGTGCCACTGCGTCCCCAAGTGGTGCGACATGTCCTTCTACGGCGCGGCCGCCCAGACATCGTCCCAGTGGATCCCGCGCTGCAAGATCTACGAGTTGCAGATGATGGGCCTCATGGAGAACGAGGTCAAGGACGTGCTGCTCGACCGCATCCACTTCAGCGACAATGTCCCTGTCGTCGAGTCCATGAACGACTACGACGACACCGTGTTCAGCCCCGTCAACAAAAAACCCTTGATCGTCAAGCACCGCTTCCTGAAGCGAAAGGACAGGGGCCTCCCGCTGCAGAAAATCTCTGCCACGCTCTCGCTCATGCGGAAAGCGGACGACAGCATGGCTTCTGCGCAGCGCGCAGCCACCAACGTCTCAACCACAAACTCCTCGGTCAACGGCTTGGTCACCCACATTTCCATGGCCAACTCTGCGTTGTCGACATTGTACACCTTGAACAAGACGGGCGAAGATGTGGGAAGCAAGTCGAGGAGAGCCGCCAGCCCTGCCACCACCACTTCTGCCGTCAAGACGGCTCGCAGTCTGAGCAGCTTGAGTGAAACTTCAAACCAAGGGGCCAAGGTCCTGAGGGTCACGGCCGACGCGAATTTGCGAAATGAAATCTCCAAGTCTTCTAGAGCTAATCAGCAAACGCGAAAACGCGAGCTCAACAAGAGCCTCTCCTCCACTGAAAAACGGAAATCCGCCTTTGACATCGAGGTTTCAGAAAGAGAAGAAAATAACCCTTACTGGATGTCGGTTGACAACCCCTCGGAACCTCAGCCGGAAGTAGCGGCGCAGTGCAGTCGCTGGGCCGATGTGTTCCCTCCAAAGATCAAGAGAAGAATGTTCAAGTGGCGCTCGTTCAAGGCCCCAGCAGCCTTGCCAATAGGCACCACCTTATTTCCCACCAGCTCTCAAATGGAGACCGAGTATACGTTTCAAATCTATGTCGTGACTCTTAACTGGGAAAACCGGCTTGAGCTCAAGACGATGAAGGATCTCATGCGAGAGATGATCCGCCTTAGACTTGCCCTCGGCTTCCAGATCTGCTATGGTGATAAGGTGAAGAGATTCGAAGCCGAACGGAAGTCCGGAGGGTACCCTGAAGGTATCATAAAATATTTTCCATCAGGAGATTGCGCTGGTGCTCGCATATACCTATCGTTGAATGAGGAAATCCACAGGATTTTTCTCGACTACAATGGATCTTTGAACGTGCAGCTTTACAAAAGAGTGAAAAGCGAGGAGAAAATGAGAATTCTGCTAGGATCACATCTCTCAAAAAGCAAGCATAAGCCTTTGATCAGAACAAGATATGCTGATGAGTACACTCCATCCAAGGTCACAGAGCGTGACTCAATTTTCCAGTACTTTAATTGGAATCAAATGGATCAGCTCATTGCCGGATACGAGGATGCAGTCCCTGAAACAAATCGACACTTCCGCCAAATGAAATTTGTCGTAATTCCCGGTCCTATTTCAGCTAACGCCTATCAAATAACGAACGAGAAATTATCTGAAGAGGAAATACGTCTCGAAGGATTGAGAAAATTGATTGCGCTTATCGAAAGAGGCAGATATAGGAAGAATGAGGACACTACCAAAAGCAAGGAAGAGTTTTTTCCAGAAATTCACTTCTACACTGGTAATCTACACGACTTTTTGAATGAACAGGCCGAGTACTATAATTTAAGCGGAACAAAGCCATCGAACTCTCTTATGATCACAGATGGGCTGCGGTTCAATACGAACATCAAGCTTTCCCAGTTAGCACAAGAATTGCAAACTGAAGGAGGTTTGAAATTGGTCGATAGAACTTGGCACTTCAAGTTGCACCCCCATTGTTTTCTTGGATGTGATCTTGTGACTTGGATTATAAACCTGTTTGATAATATTGACAGCCGAGAGGCCGCAACTGATTACGGTCAAAGTTTGATGGACAAAAACTTATTCTGCCATGTTGAGAATAGACATGGCTTCTTAGATGGTCATTACTTTTACGAGTTTCATGACGAGTTTGTGGATCAGACGTATAAAGCGAGAGCCGCGAAGAAAAGTTGGTTCCTGAAAAAGCAGCCTCACGCAACAGAAGAGGCAAAGGAACTCAAGGAGTCAAAAGACAATAAGGAACAAATGGGAAATAAGGAACTAAATGACTTCAAAGAACAAAAGGCTAACAAGGAAGGGAGATCTCCAATTTCGACGGCACCACAAACACCTTTATCGATGGCCCCCAACACCCCCTCTCTTACGCGAGCTAATTCAGTGACAAGTACGGGGGACAGCCAAGCTGAGTTGAAAAAAACTGTCTCGCACTATCACCTACCAGAAAGTGAAGCATCTTCCTTAACTGAGTCTCAAACAGTAAGAAGACGCAAGAAATTTATGATCAGCAAACATGTGAAGTATAACTGCGATCCTTCTGGAAAGTCCTTCAGGCCCGAGTTGCTTGATGTGCACTATGATAGTGTACATAATCCGGAACACTGTTATCATATCCGACTTCAGTGGCTCAGTACAACTACCAAGTTTATTGATGAGACAGTCATAAACTGGTCACGCTTTTGTGAGAGGTACGGACTCAAGCTTGTCGAAACTCCTTGGAGAGAGGTTTGTACAATACCGGAAATTAACCCTTTCCATTCCTTTGTTGACCTCAAATTAGCAGTAAACCCGTTGCAGGATACTGAGTTCAAGGACTTAGAAATCCTCAAAACAAACAGGTTTTACTTCCACCTTCATTTCTTAAAGGTTGCGGATTTCCTTCTCGACAACCGCGGCACGTCCTTCTTCCTGAAAGATCCAATTGAGATCTCTTACAGCTGGGGAAAACCTACATTTAAGTACGCACAATTCATCCACAAAAGTGGAGCGTACATCGTTGAGCTAAGAGATAACGGCGAGTTTTCCATGGCACCAAACAACGTGCACATACTTCGGATGAACACCTTTGTAAATCCAGGCACCGAACAAAGTGGGAAAAACAGTATTCTTGATTCGCAGAGAGTCTTGCTAAAGTTTAGAGAATGTTGCAGAGACGAAAGCTTCTTGAGACAGGTTTTCCGCGATGCATCAAAGTTCTTGCAGGAAGACTACGACGCAGCGTATGTTGTTGGGATGTAAATTGATCTAAACACTCGTGAGTATTACGTCTAGGCAGCGATTCTCTCGGCGATCTTGAGGGCATCGGCCAAAACGCCGTGGGCAGTGACCTCGGCACCGGCACCAGCACCTTGAATGATCAATGGGTTGGTGTATCTTTCGGTCTTGAAAGAGACAACGTTGTCAGAGCCCTTCAAGGAAGCGAAGGGGTGGTCGAAATCGTACTTGGCAATACCCACAGAAACCTTGTTGGCCTTGAAGTCGACTTGTCCGACGTATCTCAAGACCTTGTTCTCAGCCAAAGCATCGTCCTTGCGCTTCTGGAAGTCCACGTCGAAGTTAGGGAGCTTCTCCAAAAAGTCAGCACCTGAGGTACAAGCCTCTAACTCCTGAGGCACAAGCGAGTCCACGGCGAAAGAAGAAGGAGATTCGACCTCAAAACCAGCGATTCTGGCCAAGATGGTGACCTTTCTGGCAAAGTCCATACCGTTCAAGTCGTCTCTGGGGTCTGGTTCGAGGTAGCCCAACTCTTTGGCGACGTTCACGACGTCAGAGAACTTTGTGGACGAAGCCTCGCTTGTGGAGAGCGAGTTGAAGATGTACGACAAGGACCCGGACAAAATTCCCTCGATCTTCTCCACCTTGTCCCCGGTGGCCACCAAGTCTCTCAAAGGACCGATGATGGGCAAGCCTGCACCTACAGTGGCCTCGTGGTACACTAAGCCACCACCTGGAGCAGCAGAGTTGGCAAAAATCTCATTCCAAGTGGCCAAGTCAGAAGAGAATGCCTTTTTGTTGGGCGTCGCAATGGAGATACCCTGTTTGATGAAACTGGGGTAGAAATCGGCAACGGCAGCGTTAGATGTGTTGTCAATCAAAATGGTAGGCTTTGGCGAGGCTTTCAAGAAAGCAGCCAAGTCGGCCATGGCCAATGCTGGTCCTGCAGCAGCGGTCTTGTACGACAGCAAGTCAACTGGCAGGTAGTCTTTCGAGACAATAGCCTCTTTCGAGTTTCTGGCCAAGTACACGACATGGAAGGCGACCGACGACTTCAAGTTTTTCAATTGGTTGATGAAAGCAGAGCCCACGACTCCAGCACCGATGATAGCGACGTTCACAGACATGTTCGAGTTTGTTATAGGGAGTGTGAAAATTTGCGAGCTGTGACTATTACCGTTGTCTAGGCGGACGACAGCGATCGCTCGAGGGCACGTGACTGCTGCATTCAATTAGCATCTGGCTATACAGGAGCGGTTCGATTCGAGAAGTGCCGACTAATTGGTTGGGTTTGAGCAAGATATGTTTTAAGGGAGATAAGTGGATCATAAGAGGCTAGTCAGACCGAGGCAGAGGCTAATTTGAAGTCCGAAATACCAATTTCGTTAGTAGGAGCCTCCAAGCCAAAACTGCTCAGACAAAGGCTACTATGTGGAACACCATGTGCATAAAAGAGAAATGTGGTTATGCGACAATCTGAACAAAAGACAATTAATTGGAAACCAACAAGCTACTAGACAACAATCTATACAGAAGCAGCTTTTTGAAATTCGCAGCAGCTGATTCAACACCATGAAGCTAAAAAGTGGCTAGAAAATAGCTGTTGGTAAAATTAACCAACCATAAGAGTCACCAAACAGTACCACAGGTATTGAGCCGGCTGTTGAAATAACAAACTTCTTCTCAAGAAAAAGAGAATCAAAATGAGAAAGCCATCACAAAGACTACAAGCCCACAAAGCAAAAAACTCGCACACAGCTCCAAGACACGCCCCCCGCTGGTTTCAGGTTTGGTGTCTGTGCCATTCACAATGTACTGCCTGTCCGAGAACGGCTGTGGGAAAAGGCCAAACTGAGCCAAACGCCGGAAATCCCATTCTATGGTGGTTTCCGTCTTGTATGTCCAAAAAATCCACCCGTTCAGCTTGGACTCGTACTGGTCAAGCTGGATCTCAATATACTTGCGGGTGTTTTCCTTGTGCTTGGCAGACCACAGTGCCCAGTTGTTGATGTCCGAGCAGTTGCCAATAGACGTGATATTAATGGGGTCGTTTTCGAAAGGAGCTGTGCCTTCCCATCTTGAACCACGGCCGACGGTGTTGAGCCATGGGGTGCAGTCGGTGAGCGCCGCACTCCACTCGCCGACAACAGCAGGGTGTGCGTGTCTTTCGTCATAGATGCCCGAGGCAAAGTGCCGGATACTGGAAATGTGCTCGGAGATGTTGCTGCTAAGCTGCGCAGGAAAAAAAATCTCATAGTGGTGGTGGTCGATCAAGATGTTGTAGTTTTGCAACCGGCCCGGCATGTTGCCCGTGGAGTTCAAGAACCCATCCCAGTAACCCAGGGCCTGGAACGCGTCGTGGAACACAATGGTGTTGTTGGTGGCCTGGAGCAACCGGGCGTCAAGATACGTGTTGGTATAGAACAGTTCCAAGTCCGCCATCGATAACTTCGGCCCAAAGGGTTCATTGAGCACCTCGATCCCGATGATAGTGTCGTTGTAGCGCTCGGAAAAGGACGCGCCGCCGTACTTCTCGTATATTTGCCGAAGCACCAGCTCCGTGAGCTCGATGTTGGTCAGTGAGTTCTGCCAGCCGGGAACATGGTCCAAGAAACGGCCCGAGTTGTCAAAGCCATTCTGAGAACCCGGCGCGCCGTGCAAATCGATCCACACTTTCAAGTCGTATTTGTGGGCCCAGTCGATGGCCAAGTCCAAGTACGCCTGGGCGCCGCTCACATAGGGATCGTCGTCGAGCATGTCGAACGCCCAGTAGCCTATAGGAATGCGCACCATGTTGAAGCCATACGACTTGATGTCCCGGAAATCCGACTCGTTATAGAAGCCCAGCCAATGGGTTTCGAGTCTTTTGGCGGCCTCGACTCTCCCCAACTGCTGGCAATATGTGTACTCGTCCGTGGGGATGTCAGAGGAGTTTCGAGAGGTCTCATTAAAAGCCAAGAATAGCGACGGGGTGATGAACGGCTCCAACAAAAGCCAGCCGCCGAGTGCCACGCCCATGTACTGGAAGTCTGCTGCAGAGCTCAGGGTGCTGTATGGGTACGGCTGGGAAACATTGGCGAAATGTGTGGTGTTTCTCAAGGCCAGCGAATTGGTCATTTGCAGCCGGTTGAATGAAAGTGAGCTGGAAGCCCCGGCAATGCACGCAAGTGAAAGGAGGGTGTAAAGCATTTCGTGCACTGAAGATAAGAAAAGACTGAACTGGGGTTTTGAAAGAGGCCAATTTCGCCGAAAATCGAGACGTGGTTTTTTTCTGAACAGCTGTCCCATCACACAGTGCTATTATTGCCTGCTGAAGCGACGCGGCTGCGGCTCGTGTATTGGCCGGGTGTGCAGAAACAAGCGCGTAGAGAAGACATTTCCTGATGTGTTTGCCCAGGAGGGCTGAGCCGCACCAGCGAAACGTCGATTATGACACATCGCAAAGTGTGGAGTAGATTGTGCTTTCAGCAAAAGCTAGCAAAATGCATGTAAACACGCTGTTTCACGTATAAGGCAAATATCCAGTAAGTCTGGTTTCAGCAAAGCTCCTAGTGAGTGTATTTAAGAGATTCCCCACATGCACTTCCAGCAAAGCAGCGACTATGTTGCATTCCCAAAGAATTCATTTGATTGCAATTTCGGGGAAAATGTAAAAATTTGCATCCAGCAAAATCTTGAGAATATAAACTCGGCGAAATAGATTTTAGATTGGTGAAACATCCAGTGGAGGAAAACATTGCACTTTTGTAAAACGCCGCGTATGTATTGGTGAAAAGTTTAAATAATGGCTTATTGGTGAAAAGTTTAATTGATGAAAATTACGCGTATTTTCCAGGCAACTGTTTTAAAAGTTCTATTCCAGAAAAGTACTCCATGACGTACTTTCGCCAAAACTCACTCAGCAGTGTCATGCGCTTTCAGCAAAAATACAACAACTTGCACTGTTACTCTTTGGCAAACTGAACAAATTTGAATTGGTTCGTCATCGCGATTTTCAAGACGCTCGAAGACGTGGCGAGTCGCAGGAAGTGAGCTCCTTTAGTCCTCTCCAACCTTCTGAGTTGTAACGGCTTCTACAGGAGACTTATCCTAGAAATTGATGACATAATACTCAATACGTAAACAGATACGGGCCGAGTTTCGACACTTGGTACGTATGTGGGACCTGTGTTGAAGGTTATATATGTTAATTGTATACTTTTGCTCCTTCAATCAGATACGTCAGCCAAAAAAAAAGTATTGGAGTCAGCAAATGTCCAAAACTTGCACTTTCAGCGAAAATTCCACCTCTTGCACGGTCAGCAAATATTCAATATTTGCACTTTCAAAGAAAATCTCTTGTCTTGCCCTGTCAGCAAATGCACTGTCAGCAAAACACCCACTGCTTCGTGCAACACCTCGACCACCCGGTTCAGGCCCTGTGTCCTGCCATTCGTCGACCGGCCCACGTGACCCACACCCATCTCTTTCAGGAACGGTCACATAGCACTCGTCTTACAAGCCGCAAGCCCGGCAGCATCTCAAAACATTCGGTGCAGTTTCTATTAGCTAGAAAAAAAGGAAGGGCCGGGCCCCTATGTACATCTAATAAAAACACGGACTCCAGGTCATGACGTCATTAATCCAAGTCGACTTCCGAGGGCTTGGTCTCCTCGTCAGCAACAGCAGCAGCAGCAGCCTCCGCGGCAGCGGCAGCGCCAGAAACCCCAGCGGCACCTCCAATGATATTGGTGATTGTGGCCGGAGGCTGGATGGCAATCATCATCACCAACAACTCGTAGACGTCCTCCGGCACGGTTTTCTGGTAGATGCCCATGATGTCAGTAGGGTTGGGGTACACGGCCAAGGCCTTGTAGAAACGCAAGGCCGCGTCCACCTTCGTAGTTGGGTTGTTGGCCAACTGCTCGCCGGTGGCCACCTGCTCCATGAAAAACTCCTCTTTTTTCGACAAGTCCGTGGGGATGGGGTTTGCGGCCAAGTCCTCGGTCAAGGCCTTCTTGACAGTGAGCATCAAGGACTTGCGCAGCTCCTCCTGCTGCTTGGCCGCGGATTTCTGCTGCTTGACCTGTCTTTTCTTCAAGTTCTTTCTGAACTCGGGCGATGATCTTCTGTTGTAGTCGAAGTAGGCGGCGTATGCAAGCACGCCGGCCGCGGCCACCGAGACAAAGGCGAGGGTTCTGTTCATTTTATGATATGTCTTACGCTTTTCTGACGATGTGCAGTGGTTAGCAACTGCGGAGAGTAGGGCCGACCAGCCTGCAAAATTTTCGATGTCGGCCCGCGTGCGCATACCATGCGAACCGGAGGACTATTCATATATTGCTCCGGGGTGGGGGACTGGTGAGGTTTGACGCGTGGGGGGTGGGGATTCCAAAAGCAGGCATTTGATTGATTGAAATTTTTGGTTTTTGCTGTTCTTGTTTTTTTTTTGGATGCGCAGGATTCCGGGCTTTTGGGCTTTCGAACGGCTTCTGGTGGTTTCGTCTATGCTGGTCTGCCCGCATGCGCATTGCCAGTCTGGAGCAGATTGCACTGGCAATCAATGGGCGTATTTGCGAGTCATGATTTTGATTTGAGCATTGATTTATTTGAGCAATGATTTATTTGAGTAATGATTTTGATTTGAGCAATGATTTAATAGAGTAATGATTTTGATTTGAGCAATGATTTATTTGAGCAATGATTTATTTGAGCAATGATTTTGCGGGCCATGATTTATTTGAGCAATGATTTTGCGGGCCATGATTTTGATTAGAATGACTTTGATTCGAGCGATTTCGATTCGAACAATGAACGGATACTATGCGTAGAACAAGCTTTTTGTAGAGTGCTGGGTGTGCGTTGTTGTGTCGGGGATCTGGGTCATTCTGGCGAGCACTCCCAGCCGATACCATGATTGGTCTTTGGGGCATCATTGGAGTTCTTCGGGATAGTCATTATATTTTAGTTCGAAGAAATGTTTTTCTGTGTTTCTTGCTGAAATCCCTGGGAGATATGGTTCTTCTTTGGGGAATGATAACTTGGCGTCTTTGAAATTTATGGCTTGCTTCTTCGCAGTAATATAATGTGATGATCTGGACTCATTAGTCTTCATATCTGAGCAGCATTTTTAATCCGTGGGTAGTATTGTTCGACCTGTGGGAACTATTGCGGTAGTATTTAATTACTGGGCAGTATTATCTGAATACAGGGCAGTATGTTTGTGTTTTTCAATTACTGTACAGTAGTATTGATTAGTGGGTATTACATGCTTACTGGGACGTATTATCCCATCTCCGGGCACTATTGTTGGTCTCGGGGCGGAATATAATATTTCAAGCCCTTTTGGTCTGTTCACCTAGAAAGTCTTGCGGAAGGTTTTCTGGAACGACCCTGATGACCAGCTGGAGTTGACGGCCGAAGTGCTGGCCGAGCTTTTGGGCCTCATCCAGCCAGACTTGATTTACTCGGGCGACGACCACGACTACTGTGACGTGCAGCACCTGGACGCCACGCGGGAAGTCACTGTCAAGTCCATCAGCATGGCCATGGGCATCAAGCGGCCCGCGGTGCAGTTGCTCTCATTTTCAGCGGGCGGCGATACGTTGAATTACCACACGGAGATATGCTACTTGCCCCGGCCATACGTCAACGTGGTCGTTTACGTGGCCCTTGCCGTGTGCTCAGGGCTTCTCTTGCTTTTCTCCAGCATCAAGCTGCGCAGGTACGTCTATGCCGTTTGCCCTCGGAGCAGGTCACCGCCATTTCTTGGAGCGCGGCCAGGCGCCTATGTCCAAG